CCATAATATATCATCATACATCATCTTAGATTATCGTACATCATCATTGATCATACATCATGATCATATCATCATATATGTATCATTATATATTGTAATATCAACACACTTTGTCTCTGGTTTGGAGCCCTGAGTTTGGGAGCATGAGATCAGGAGCCGCCACATAGCTACAAGCAACTGCCATTGAGGTGGGGTCTAATTCCCCAGGTTAGCACACTGTTAATGTCCAGGTCAGAACAGAAAGGCTGAAGGTATCTCGATGGGAAAGAAAATAGAACTGTGAATTGGGTGTGCGCGGCGTGACCGTGTGATCACTCCAACAGGAAAGAAAATAGACAGAATGATCACAGACCAATTGTAATATCATGGACAACCGCAAAACCTCTATGTGTCGAAGTCCCTTGGTGTATTTCTAGTAAGTAGGGAGCAATTCCAAAAGACGAATCACAAAAAAATCGCTGCAGCTGAAGAAACGCCATTGTAAGTGCCTTGCGAAGAACCTCCCGGAAACGCGTGCAGATCAATCAAGACGCGAATGCCATGCCTTGAGCAACGGACCAAGAACTGGGCCAACCAATCTCGTGGGATGGTGGCAAAGGCTGCACGATCCACATAGAAGGGATCCGGCACCTCAAAAGCACCATCTCAACATCAATAATTCATTGCGTGACCGAAGGATTTGCGGGTGGAATCTTGACATGCTCAAATATGAGTACATCAAATATATGTATATAGTTATCGTCCCGAAGGAAGTTTAGAAGTCAAACTTCTGACAATATGGACAGATGGAAAAGCAGAGGGGAAGAGTCAGAGAAGAGAAGGCAAGAAGAGAGAAAATCAGAGAAGAGAAAGAGTCAGAAGAAAGAAGATGCAGGTGCAGGAAACAGTAGAAAAATCGCGATTCACTGTGTTTTTCCAATGATTTGTGGTTCCGGAGAATCGAAAAGTAGGCTCGCTAAAGCGGCAGTATAAGAGACATATTCATCAGAGATCTTGAGAGGGATTGCACTTTGGAGCATCAGATCTTCAGGTTTGCTAAGATGATTTTGCGTCACAGGTGCAGCACTTCGTATGACCCGAATGGCAGGCGCGGTGCTTTAAACAGGTGGAGTGCAAAAATCGCAAGACGCATTGGTACGAGGCCGTCAGACGTGCACCCACTTTCCATTTTTGAAGGATGTCTCGCAGAATTGTTTCATTTTTGATGTTGTCAACTTCGAGAATTGAGGAAGTCTCGCAGAATTGTTTCGTTTTTGATGTTGTCAATTGCCAAGTTCAAAAATTGAGGAAGTCTCCCAGAATTGTCTCGTTTTTGATGCTGTCAAGTTCAGAAACTGAGAAAGTCTCGCGGAATTGCTGCGTTTTCGACAGACAGATAGATAGATAGATAGATAGACAGACAGACAGACAGGTAGAAAGATACATAGATAGATAGACAAGATAGATAAGATAGATAAGATAGATAAGATAGATAAGATAGATAAGATAGATAAGATAGATAAGATCGATAAGATAGATAGATAGATGGATAGATAGATAGATAGATAGATAGATAGGTAGATAGATAGATAGATAGATTAGATAGATTAGATAGATTAGATAGATTAGATAAATTAGATAGATTAGATAGATTAGATAGATAAGATAGATAAGATAGATAAGATAGATAAGATAGATAAGATAGATAAGATAGATAAGATAGACAAGATAGATAAGATAGATAAGATAGATAAGATAGATAAGATAGATAAGATAGATAAGATAGATAAGATAGATAAGATAGATAAGATAGATAAGATAGATAAGATAGATAAGATAGATAAGACAGATAAGACAGATAAGATAGATAAGATAGATAAGATAGATAAGATAGATAGATAGATAGATAGATAGAAAGATAGAAAGATAGATAGACAGACAGATAGATAGATAGGTAGATAGAAAGATAGATAGATAGATGGATAGATAGATAGATAGGTAGATAGATAGATAGAAAGATAGATAGACAGACAGATAGATAGACAGACAGATAGGTAGACAGATAGGTAGAAAGAAAGAAAGAAATAACGAAAGACAGAAAGAAAGATAGATAGATAGGTAGATAGATAGATAGATAGACAGACAGATAGGTAGGAAGATAAATAGATAGATAGATAGATAAGATAGATAAGATAGATAAGATAGATAAGATAGATAGATAGATAGATAGATGGATAGATAGATAGATAGATAGATAGGTAGATAGATAGATAGATGGATAGATAGATAGATAGATAGAAATATAGAAAGACAGATAGAAAAAATGGATAGACAGACAGATAGATAGATAGGTAGGTAGATAGCTAGATAGATAGGTAGATAGATAGATGGATGGATAGATAGATAGATAGATAGAAAGATAGAAATAAAGATGGATGGATAGATAGACAGACAGATAGATAGATAGGTAGATAGATAGATAGATGGATAGATAGATAGATAGATGCATAGATAGAGAGAGATAGATAGATAGATAGATGGATGGATGGATGGATAGATAGATAGATAGATAGATAGACATAGAGATAGGTAGACAAACAGATCGATAGGTAGACAACTACAGCTACAACTGCAACTAAACTACACTACCACTACCGCTACAACTACAAATGCAAACATACTACGCTACAGTACGCTAATGACACTACACTACACCACTTACACTACACTACATTGACTACACTACACTAATCACAGGACAACTTTGACAACTGCAACTACTATTACTACTACAGGTGCAGCTACAACTGCAACTAAGCTACATTACATTACACTACGCTACACTAATTACATTACACTACACTACACTAGAGTACAACTTCGATTACAACTACACTACATTACACAACACTACGCTACACTAATTGCACTACAACTACAACTACAAGTACAAATACAACTACAGCTGCACTACACTAATTACCCTACACTACGCTTCACTAACTACAACTGCAGCTACAACTGCAACTACGCTACTTTGCACTACATTACACTAGACTACACTACAGCACACAACACTACAGGACACTACACTAAACTGCTTTACACTAAACTACACTACGTCACACCATAACTACGACTGCAGCTACACTATGCTAATTACATCCTCTCACGTTGCTTCACCCCACCCTGTGCACCATTTTACACCCAAAAAAACCGTTCTAAAATGGAATCTATGAGGGGGTCTTAGAACTCAAAAATGTTGGCTGCTATTCCGTTTTTGGATTCTAAAATGGGTTCTTAAATGGTATCTTTCATTCTTTTAAAAAACATTGAGAAAAAAGCTTGTTGAAACCATCACATTTCAGAAAAAACGATGAGGAAATCTGCACCCCAAAAAATAGATCGACATGGGGCCAATCAAAAAACACACTGCAAAGAGCACTCCATGATACTCCATAGCATTTTTCAGTGGGTGGCGGCCGCAAATGGTCTTGTCATTTCCTACCTACGGAGCCAGGTTTTTGCCCGCAATCTTTGCTTCCTTTCTTGCAAAGTACACCCCAACCCGAATGCCTTCAGAATGTCCCCTAAGTCACCCCTTTTCAAATAAACTTCGTTTTGGGCTACTTCCATTTCCCGCACGATTGTTTGTTTACTTGTGCGACCAAGTAAATCTTCAATAAAACAGCAAACTCATACATGCAGTTTTTTCCAAAACAATAGTGTTTTTGCGTCACAGGAGAAAAACAAGGAACAAATCATCACATGCGGAATTAGCAAGCAGCTGCATGTGGGACTACAGCTGTCGCAGCTGTCACTTGAAAATATGGTAAGTTTGCCTGTCTTCATCAGGATGGAGATCGTCAGTGGAGGCTCACCACTGACTGGACTCTTGTTCCTTTGGGATATTTCGGGGGGCTGGGCAGCTATGGCATAGAGATGTCACGCTAGACAATGCACCTTGATGATTTATCTTTGGGAAGGGTTCTGGAATGGTTTCCTGCTTGGCTACACGTGTGAGGTACCAGCTACTGCAAGGGGAAACCATTTTAGACCATTTGTATGCTTAGATAACTTAGATATGTTCATTTGGTGCACAGGCATTGGTCTACTTGTACAAGAACAAAAGAAAAGATGGCAGATACAGTTTTTGCTGACTTGATTATCCCTGAAAATCATTGGCATTGGGTTGTACCTGTCTACCCCTGGAGGTGTTCCTCTTCGGGAAGTATTCTGGAATGGTTTCCTGCTTGGCTACACGTGTGAGGTACCAGCTACTGCAAGGGGAAACCATTTTAGACCATTTGTCTGCTTCGATAACTTAGATATGTTCATTTGTTGCACAGGCATTGGTCTACTTGTATAAGAACAAAAGATGGCAGAAACAGTTTTTGCTGACTTGGTTACCCCTGAAAATCATTGAAAATTGGGTTGTACCTGTCTACCTGCCCCTGGAGGTGTTTCTCTTTGGGAAGAGCTGAACCCACAAGTTCCCCCAGTCAAAAAAGTTCTCACAAGAGATCAAGAAACAAACCGAACTGTGAATTTGTATGAATTTGTCAATTTTTTCTACCATGTATCTGTGTATTATCCTTTTTGGTTTATACCAAATGGCATTTGTTCTGCCATGTTGCCGCGACATAGTGCAATCGAGCCTTGTAAATCATCAAAAACTAATTAAACCATGGTTTCAACAGGAGGATCAAACTGGCAAATTGCTTTCAATCACCGGCTCACTAGGAATAACAAATACCTGCACAAAACAAGCGCCATACATCATCATATAGTAACATATATACACACTTCCAAAGTTCTACAATGCTTACGCGGCTGGAAGTGCTACAATGTTTTTTTCATTTTAGAACCCCTGCATCCAGCAGTTGTGGGTGAGGTGACCACTGCAACCATTGCGACAATTCCAAAAAAACACAACTCCAAACACCTTTCGGCCCACCAGTATCAGTGGATTCGCTTTGCCATCCACGCATCACAACAACTCACCTCTCCTATAGTGTCCTATCTTTGACACTTCCGCCACCGCCTTGTGCGGTACTACTGGTATGAATATGCATATATATAAACATATATAAATATAGATGATAATATAAACATATATAAATATAGATGATAATAATAATAAATAATAATAGTAACTCAACAGAATTGAACTAATCTAGTGAAAAGGCACAAGGATGGTCTCATTGAAAGGATTGTGGGAACCATAGACATTCTGATCCAAAGGTGCCAGTGCATCTGCAAATGCTGCCCAGGTGATGGGCAAACGTACCATCTGTAGGCCCAAGGAAGATATGGCCGATAAATCTCGCTCACCGATGAAAGAATGTCGGTGGGAAGTGAAGGCTTGGATAGTAAAGTTGTAGCCTCAGTTGGCAGTGTGTCAAAACCAATAGTACCCCTGTAGTTCACATCAAAATAGCTGGGATTTATGGATGTTCATCCCACTAAAAATGTATCTATAGGTATTGACCCATACTCAGTTAACAAAAAGGCCAAAAGGATCCAAAAGGCGTCTTGCTTCAAGTGACATCTTCCTTTCTTGTCCACTCTTCAGACTCTCAAGATTACAAGATTGTTGAACAACATCTAACATATGATATTCACAGATGTTGGAAGTCTCCTTGCTATTTGGGCCATCATGTTCGGATCAGGTGTTTTCATTGACTTCGCACAGGCAGTGGTATTAATGTTCTGTTTAAACAATACTGGTTACGTTGGAGCAGGTCTGAAGGTTGCTCAGCGTAAGTAGCCTTGTCAAGCTTTTCACTCCTTCTTGAAGATTAAGTCACCAGCAGCTACTTACTTGCTGTGTTTTTGAAATGTTCCTAGTTCTGTAGGTTTTTAAGTCAGCAGCGTTGGGATTAAGTCACTAGCAGCTACGTGCTTAAAATGTTCCTAGTTCTGCAATGTTCTGTAGGTGTTTTACCGGAGCCCTACCTATAGTCTCCCAGAAGAAGTGCGATCAAAAGAATCCAAAGAATCTATTAGAATCTACTACACCATCATAATCATACTATCCAGCATATATGTGCCAATGAAACTCTCCCTCACCCAGTGAATCCAATCCCAGTATCCCTTCGTCTTGTTGAGTTCAAACGTGGGATTGCCTTCAGAGGTCCAAGGCATTGAGCTGACCGCTGGAGGTAAACAACGGCCTTGGACGTCTTGGTCCATGGTTGAAACATGCGTGCCCGAGTCACCCGAGTAGAACCAATCCTCCAAGCACAACCAGCCACCCAGATTCACTCCAGCCAGGTGTCCAGGCAGTCCAAAAGACTGGCTAGACACATCCCGTGGAGCTTGAGGCCATTCAAAGGACCTGTTCTGCCAACAAATGAGGAAAGTCACCGTCACGACCCCAAGGCCTAGGATTTGACGTTTCCATCTGCAGAGCTGTGCCCCTAGAGGCCTGCCTGGCTGGCCCTGGGGGCTTGGTTTGGGTGCGTTGAAATTTTCGTTCAGCGGAACTGCTCGAGCTGCTGACTCCATCAAGGCCATGGCTGCAATGTCAAGCGCGCCTTTGGTGCCTTGCAGATCTTGAATTTCTCACTTGGCGCTGTGGAGGATGAAGTTGCTTCATTACAATCATCATCAATCATCGCAGTATGCATTGATATGCATTGCAAAGTATGCACAGTGTAACAAACTTAATGATATAAATGACATAATCATTACCGTGTTATTCGGGAAGGTTTGCGATACAACATGCATCTTGTTTACACCACGTACTTTTTCTCTATGGGTCCAAGTAAGCACTCGTCTTATGCTGATCCGTCGACACGCTGGCATGCAGCATCAAACCAGCAAACAATGAGAGACTGAAAGACACCCAAGACAGGTACGAACTATCTGTGGTGTTCAAAGTTGCAGTCGGCCTAATCCCAATCCCCAATCCCTCCAATCCGCGTTTGCCACAGTAATCCGTTCAATCCGCAATCCCGTGAAATTTGTGGAATGTTACGCGCCAAGTTATTGAGCTCAAATTCTTTGGCGCCTTCAGCTTGATTCACATGCGGGAACAAGAAACTTACCAAAAAACTTTCCCCAAACCTCCCGGCACGAGCCGCAGAATAACCCCAAAACAGACACTTGAAAGCCAAAGTGAGCGTTTTGGGGGTTATTTCATGTTCCCCAAAACAGCGCACGAACGCTTTTGCTGGAGCTCTTGTGGAAAAAAAAATCCAATGTTTTGGGTAAGGCACACATTTAGCTTTGCAGCTTAACCAGGCGAATTTCAAGAAGCGCAGGGAAAACCACCTGCAATCCGTAAACCGTCCAATCCGCAATCCCCCATTAGGATTGCCTTTGAACAGGCCAGACTATTGAACAACTATATGAAAACACATTTTATATTAATGTATATTGCATATAATATGATAATATAATATGATAATACAATTATAATACTACAATATCAATATAAACAATTACTCACAATTATACAAACTTAATAAACCAATGCATATAGTTCCTCATTCCGGTGAATGCCTCAAGTTTCTGAGCTCCAGACACCTCCAGAACCTCCAGATCCGGCCTCGCAGGGAAACGATCTTTGGCGCACGGTGCTGATATAAATGATCTGCAAAATCAAAAGGACAATGTATCAATGTATTTTGATGTCGACCAAACTGAAGAAGTGAGCAATTGCATTTGGGCCACGATCAATATTTGGTATCTAGCTCCAAGTCGTCAATTTTTGGTGAGTGTGTGTATTTGTTTTCCAAGTTTCGGGAAACCGTGTTCTTAGTCCTTGCATTCCTTGTGTTCCAATGTATTTTGATGGTTTTCGATTGTATGGTCTCTGCAAGTGATTAGATAGCTTTCAGTGAGGCGCACAGAGATCCAGAAGCACGCTGCTTTCCATGTGGTAGTTCAGCTAGGTCTGCTCTCCAATATGCGGCGGTGGTCTGCTATTTCATGTCCGCTTGCCAGATCTTACTTTCGTACAGAAACCTTCAAACAGTATAGGCATGTATAGGCGGGAAACCATCAAATTACATTCCCAAAGGACACATATTATGTGAAACTTGCAAGAAAAAGGAACAACTCTTCAACGAGGGGCCAGTGTCTGGCTGAAGCGCGTTGGATTGACTTTTTGGTTATCGTTTCTTTATCGTTCGGGTTATCGTTTGGAACACCTGGTGGGATCTAGAAAACAATGATGCTGGATTTTTTTTTAATATACTGTACAAAGTGTTTTTTATATGCTGTCTTTTGGCAAAGGCTGCTGGGCAAAAGCACAAAAAGTAAGCAAACATTATGGCAGCGTACGCCCCAATCAACGTATCACTCTCTGTCACGGAATAATAGGAAGCGCAAATCAAAAGAGATGGAGGAAGAGAGGAATGTAATTACATCATGTGTATTATCATTGCTTAAATGCCGGACCTTGTTCTTCCCTGTCGCCAAGATGGTGCGTTGGCAATAACTAGCGTTAAAGCCAAAGTTGGAGTTTGGGTTCTTGCTTACTCTCAAACAAATTCTGAATGCCTACTACACAAAGCATGGAATCACCTGCCTGATATGGAAATATGCTTTTGAACATGCTTTTGAGCACGAGCAAATTTCTTATCGTTTGTTGGTGAGTGAAATGATTCGTTTTCCAAGTCAACTATAGTCAACTTCCAGATTTTCTACTACGCGCGGCCTCTATTGGCAAGGACACCAGTAGCACCTGTGCCCGCAAAGCTCGTAGGTTTGAAGATTCCATGCTCCATGAGAACCATGAGAATGATGGCTGCTAGTTGCTACTTGGTGATATTGTTAGACTGTAGACGTTACTAATATTTACTAATCATTGCTAGTACTGTGCATCATTTCGCAGCCAACTTCATCCAACGATATATCCAGCTAGACATTCGACACATCGGGTCCGCACGAATCGTCGGCACCTGCAAGGTATGCTCCACCAACAGCCCGAAGAGCTCCGATGGCAGCTGCAGGGGGAGCAAGGTGAAGGAACCTGCAGCTGGTGTCACCTGTGGATCCGATGCCCACGATTGGTGTCCGAGGTTCTCCGGAAATCATGACTACTATTCCCATAGGATCCATGTATGGTATATATGCTAACATTGGGGGTATATTTTGGGCCCTGGGTGGGCCTCTATCTCTGTTGCAAGGAAATCATGCCCTGGAACTATTTATAAAATTGCCAGGAACTATTTATAAAAATAAATGGAAATATGCTCCAATATTGCCATGATATAAGCAATATAAAACAATATGACGACAATACAGTCAATACAATACCTTTACTTTCATGCAGCTGTGGCCACACTCCCAATCAAATTCCACAATCTTTAGAAATAAATCAGATGCATGGATGCAATGCGCGTGTGAAAACACACACTGAGCGTCCAAACTTGCAAAGTGTTTTTCCCCTGCTGCTGGAGCACACTGTCGTGGAGGGCTGGTTCACATCCATTCGGTCCATTCTCCCTAAACCAATGGCTTTCGGCCATCCTAAAGCAGTGCGACACCATTGTGTCAACATCGGTTCTGTTCCCATCCTCCTTTCAAGCTTTCAAGCGGAACAAAAAGGCTCCACTACTGTGAGTGAGCATCAAAATGCCTAAAAGGTGACAAAGCGGAACATTCACTTTTTGGCCTTTTTGGCCTTGGGTTCCTTTGCATTTTGCTTTGCCTTGGGCGTGGCCTGTCTCTTCTGAGTCACTTTGCCGGCGGGCTTTGCTTCTTCTGGCTCCGGCTCTTTGTTCCTCAGTAGGCACTGCATTGAACTAAACACGCCATGTACTGACTAAAGATCAGATTGACTGCACAAAAAAGCGTGCTGCTAAATGCGTCATGGAAAATTGAACATGTTCAACCCATACCGGCTCAAAAGAAAGTTCAATGAAACAGGCAATCACCAAAGGTCACAGGCTCAGCCGAAAGTTTTCCCTGGGAAAAGGCCTCAAACTTGCGACGCAAGTTGTCTGGCAAATCCTGTGTAGAGATGCCAAAGACCTTGCTCATGTATGAGGAAATCTTTCTAGCAGTTTGCAAGTGATCCTCGGCGTACTTCTCATGGTTCACGACTGGTTCAGCTGCAGTACAGTAGCAGCAAGTTTTTGCCACAGACACACGAAGGTCCTGATGCAGCCCCCTCTGGCTGATTGCAAGGAGAAATTTGATATGAGCAGTCAAACCTTCAATGTTCTATATGCTTTTCAAATTGTCTGGAAAGGACATCAGAATCACACTGACTATCCCTGAGAAACGGCAGTAAATTTGTGCACAATTCCATATTGAGTCTAAAGTCTACAGAGTAATGAAGTATTGAGGGAAAGAGGTTACATAGTGTACAACGCACAGACACACACACACAGAAACACATACAAAACAAGTCTAAAACTTGGTAACACAACCGTGTGTTTTTGACATCCATATGTGCCAAAACGCCTCACGTTTTGTCATTTTTTCAATGACCAATTTCTACATCAGACGACGAAAAGTTTCAAGAGCCTTTTTTTTTCATCTCGCATGTGGTCGTCATGTCTCACTTAGACATGTTGTGGCGATAGATCCACTGATAGATTCTATCCCAGACTCTAGCATTGATGGTTGGGCCAGTGCGGTTCTTCATCTGACTGGGGCAATTTTTTTGAGGTGGTTCCAACAACGAACTATGTGTTGGGTTCCTGCAACTTTCGTCTTCCCTCGCGCTCGCACCTTCCGAGTCCACTCACTACGCATGTGGACCACCGACTTCACAATGTAGCAAGCGTGCAAGAACGTTACATCAACGTAGCACTGCGTAGATGTGAGCGTGCAAGAACGGTACATCAACGTAGCATGACGTAGTTCCGCAAGCGTACATGGACGTGATTGGCCCACCCCACCCCACCCCACCCCGCCCCACCACCCCCCACCTATACTATATTATATTATCCATGCGCGGTGACATCCAAAATCTCAACGCCCACACGGTTGTAGAAATTCGTGTCACCTAAAACATTTACAGTCAATTTGACTTGGTGGCCATACAAAGTTATTTCATAAATGCCAAACAAAACCGATAACAAACTCAGCGACTCCTCAACCTTCTTGCGCAATGGAGTTGCCCTGGACATGATCGGATCTGAACCGTTGGCCTTGGTTTTGAAAGCCAAAATGCCTTTCAGCACCTCAAGATCTTCCGCGCATTGCGAGTGCCACTGGGTAATCTCCTTGAAGAGACCCACCTGCACATCACTCTGCGCATCGGTGAACATCCAGGCAATGGGTTCGATGTTCCAATGCGTCACACAGTCCGCCAATGCACTGCAGGGTGGTTTTGCTTTCTCAAATAAAACACGTTTCCACCAAGCTCTTGACATGATAAATGATGCCCCAAATGCCAGGCTTGACAAACAAACAAGCTCATCTTCACAAGTAGCTACAGCTACAGTATACAACTGCAAAAAATCGAAAGACCCGCGCCTGTACTTTGACAAGATTTTTTCTACTGGCTTCGTGCTTGCACTGATCTGATCAAGGCCTTCCACCACCATTTTGGTCACCTTGGCTTTGAAATCGGAAACTGTTTCCATCACATCTGGAAAGAAGAACTTGATCGCCTCAACCTGCAAGGTGGAAACAGTGAGGAGGTACCTGGCCTTCTGGACCAATGTGGCTGACTCCAAATCAAATTTGCTCAACTCAGACAATGTTTTGCCTTGCTTGAGCACTGCCAATGCGCCATCTATCTCCACATTGAGGTCAACTTGACAAAGCTTGCCCCCCTCGACCATCTTGAGGGTATCGTCAATGCCATGGGAGTCGAGAAGTGCTTTCCATTCCGCTTTGGCCTGTGACGTGAGTTGCACCTCAAAGCGATCCAATGCCAATCTTCCTTCCCGAACCCAACCGGGAAGGCCTTCAAGCCGCTGACACATGGTGAGCACACGCTTCAGATTCATGGCCATCGCGCAGCTCAGCAGCAAATCTGGCTCAACATGTTCCCCGTATTCCAGGAAAGCACAGGCAAGCTCACTTGTAGCCTTGTTCTTCTCCATATCCTTTCGAAGAAGGCAGCTGCACAGGTGACCTTGCAAGGCGTGAAGCTCTATCATACGTGCAGTAATGTCTGTTTGCATCTCACCTGGTAAACAAAAACCGTGGACCATGATTGTAGTTGGCTCTTGTTGTGGTGGCCCGTCCATTGAAAAAACATGATGTTTTTCTGGCTGTGACTTTACGAGTACGACCTACGATTGATCAGTTGATCGCCTTTCAGCTCAGAAAACGCAGAAGTGGACATGCTGCTTTCAACGCACAAACGCATCCCTCATCCGACCGTAAGAACAAATCAAGCTACCTTGAACGGCGACCTTCTGAAAAACCAGCATCTTCTCAGTGTCGTCACGGCATGGCAACTTCAATCGTCGATCCGAGCTGTTCAGCCACAAGTCGCTCATCTGATTTTCAAAGGCCTTCTCCGGGACAGAGAAGTTGGAATCCACAAGTGAGGAAACCTCAGAAAGGATCTCTTCAAGTCTGGCTGCCACTTCGCCAGCATCTGGCTGCTTCTTGCATGCATCCAAGTAGTCACTGGCACTACTGCACTTGGAAGTGAGCTTCAGGATGTTGGGAACGTCAAGAGTGTCATGCGTCATGGCGGCCTTCAACTCACGAAGAGAGGCGGTGATCTTCTCTGCAAAAGCTATCGCTTTGGATTCGTCCACGGCAAACTTCGCAAGGCCGGTAACGTCTGTCCACAAAGTCCTCGAGCGGAGAAACTGCGGTCAATGACGAAGGGTTTTTTCAATGTCGCTGGTGCCTACATGTCCTACTAGTATATAGTGCCAAGTTGGATTCCACAATTTAAACCGTCACATAATGGTAGTTCATGTCGGTGATATGCTAAAAGAGAGTGATACAGTGATACAGTCGTCAAACATGAAATATTAATATGTAGATTATAAAAAAATATGGAGAATGTTCTTATGTCAGATCTACATTTACCGCTATTAATTTTGAATTCAATGGCGCAATATATTGTACGCGGAACAAAAGACTGGTAAGAGATTAGAGCATTCAACTCCGAACGAATGTAAAACATTTGATATGACCTGCAGCCTGTCCTCAGCCTGTTGTTGGCCCTGAAAAGCAACTGGCACCGAGCGCTGAATTGCGAAGACACTGCCACCACACCCTTGATCTCCTTCAACTGCTGTTGCGACAAAGTGCACGACCCCTTACTCTGCGAAAGGAACAGCTGGCAACCAAGAAATCGCTGAAGGTCATGCAAGACCTTGCTGGAAAATCCGTTTGCGACTTTGTCCTCTCCTGCCTCGTTTGTGGTCCTGGGAAGTGAGATGAAACGGCGAGAGCAGTGGCTGGATAGTAACATGCAGGTAAGATAAAAATGCAGCCGCAGCTACATAGACTTTTAGGTATGTATGTAGCGCGCTTCCCAAAACTGATCCAAAGATCACTTTTTACATTCATCGCATCGTTCATCACACCAACCAATATATCAACAAAAAAGTCAAAATGGCCAGACTGAGTCCTGATGTGGTCTGGGTTCCAATGTTTGGCAACATGTGGAATCATTTGCACAGCGAGGTCTGTGGACTCAGGGCTTGCAAGTCTGAACTTGTCCATCCAGCCATGGAACAAATTGACCTGCAAAGGCACAAGCTTGGCAGGATCAGCGCCAAACGTCACCAAGGAGCCCAGTGTGAGCTTAGCGCTTTGAACATCTGCGGCAGCTTTGTCGAGAGGCTCCAAGGAAAGGTACTGCCAAAAGAAAGCGTCATTGCCAGCGGTGAACGCTGCCTGCACAATGCAAGCTTAAACACTCTCGTAACAAGAAGCTTCAGTAACTCTCAATATGCGGCCCTTTCACCCAACAATGCCCGATGATTTTGAAGAAACTGCTTAAAAACAATGAGCCTCCGTGAAGCTACGGCCAATGTCAGTCAGGACTGCATGGAGGCAGTCCGCAGGGAGGTTGTCCAACACCTTGAAGGACTCGGGTAGCAACTCCCACTGATCAGCACAGTTGGCCACATCTCGGTCGGATAGCTTGCTCGTCATGACATTGAAAATGTCGATCACAGGGCCGATATTGTCAATCATGCGAGACAACTCTTGTGATCCGGCCTTTGCCTTGTCATCATCCACTGCTGCGGCCAGAGAACCAGCAAGCTCCTTGCAAGGCCTTCCCCATCTTGGAGTCAAGCTCTTTCGTCTTCACGGAGCCATTCCAAAGACCGAGAAGAGGGAGGTTGTCAAAGTACTTGATTAAAGTCTCAGCTTTGGCAATTCTGGCTGCCAAGTCTTCGGTCTTCTGGGCCTTGCCTTCCTTGTTTTTCTCCGCCTTCTCGGGCTTCTCAGCTTTCTCCGCCTTCTTGTCATCCCCAGCTGGTCCTGCACTTGGGGCACCGGCCTTCTTTTTCGCTTTTGGTTCTTTGTCCTTCTTGTCCTTGCCAGCGCCTGTCCAGCCAAAAAAGTTCTCACTGGAGTCGGAGTCAGAAGATGGCTCTGCACCACCCTCTTCATCTTCAGGCTCTGGGGCCTTGCCAAGTGCCTCCGCTTCCTCTTCCTACCACGGCAGTGGCACGAGTGCCATGCAAGCTTTCTTTACACATGTCAAAACAAAAATAAAGAGCGCTTGGGGATTTTTATTACAGACAGAACGTGCGAGGTGCAAGAGTATTGCTGGGTTTGCAGTCCTTCGTGTTGACTTCAACTGTTTGTTTTGCCCTGGCTTTCTCATGCGCGGCTGCTGCTTCCCTGGCATCTGCGTATTCTTCACGTCTGACTCTGGCTGTACTGGAGCGGCTCCCAATTTTGACCTCCTTCACTTTGCTCTCTGGCAAAATGATGACTCCCTCAACTCCCATGTCATCCTGCAACTCTCCAATCGACAACGGACACCCCAAGCAAACCAAAACATGTTTCTGAACATTTGATGCTTGCTACATTAGGTCCTGTTGCACCTTCAGCCCCATGACCTGAGCAACTATGACTATAACACGTGACGACCCGGCGAGCCATCATTGTGACAAACTGGTTGCGTTTCTTCGGCAATGGCCAGCTAAAAGGCAAACAAAGACAAAGTACAAATTAAAAAGGGAAACGCAGCAACATGCAAAGACAGTAGCAATGGCAAGGTGGGCAAAAATGAAATAAGCTGCCTGTGTCACATATTTTCGCTTCTGTGGGAGGGTCTTCAGCTTTTTCTTCACCGCCTCGTCCGTCACATTGTCATCGATCCAGTCTGGGATTGACATCCACTTTCCCACCTGCCAATGGTAAACTTTACACAACGTCACCTCATGCGATTTTTGGAGCAGAGGCTGCGTAGAAGCACGAAAAAATCAAGATTTTCCAGTCCTGGAAGATGTCGATGAAACCTTCATCTTTCTTCTCCGTGAAGTGGCGAAGATCGATGGTCTCATGCCGCGGACGCGCTCTTGGGTTGCGAGCTGTCTGCTTGATGTGCTTGCGGCGCAATCCTCGGAACCTGGGCCCGGCAATAACCCATGCAAGGCAACACTTGAACAGCCAAAACCACAACCTTATATAGTTGATTTCAAAGAAAACAAGAACTTGAGACACTGGGATTTCTTGCCCGGCCAGAAGCTTGTCTTTGAGCGCAGGGTTTTTTCGAATCAGCCTTCGCATCATCGCGGCATCCACCTCCTTGAAAGATCCGCGACGGATGTAGTAGCACCGCAAGCATTCTCCACTATCCGTCCCCTTGCATGACACCACCGTCAAGGGGTGGCCTTCAGGAGCATCCTTGCATTGGAAAGCTGGTCTCATGGAAACTGAATGACTTCACCCCACAAGAATGCGAAAGGCCAGAAGTGAAAATTTAGAAGCGGAAGAAGGAAGGAATCATCAGGCTGGGATTGCTGCTACATGTTTCGGCACAACTCATGTCCTCATCTGGCTCATTGAACTTTTGGCCACAGTCGCCGCACTCTCCTTCAGGAACTTCATCCGTCTCCGAGTCATGGCCAGCCTCACCATTGTCTGGTGGAGGAAGATCTGCCATCGTAGCAAGGTGAGGTTACACAGTCACACAGGCGCCAAATAAGAAAATGCTGCGGTAGCAAATGCTGCTCAACAAATATGAACGTCTTCATGACTACCAAATATATCAACTTTACGACATCAAACGCGACGCAATCTGAAAAATGCGCGAAGGAAAGCGCAAGTTCACTTCAAGAATCGTGTCTTCTCAACATGCTCCAAACTATCGCCTGTGGATCGGTCTGCTTTTAAATGCTGACATGCTACCTTCGTGGCACTGAGCTGCCAAAATCCAAATCTGCACTTCGAGACATGAAGCGAACTTGACCCGTGACGTATGGCTTCAGTAAAGGACTAAGAAAACCTGGCACAGGTGCAAGCTGAAATGCGCTCGCACAAGCATGCAGCCATGCTATGGGCTGCTCAGAACTGCTGCTGCTGTGTAGGCGGCAAACCAAAAGTGTCGATGTCTTGGCTTTCATCTTCCATCACCACCACCACATCATGGTGATCCGCTTCAACTTGAGAGTCTGAAGTCAAATCAAGGAGCACTTGAACCACACTTTCCACAGCCTTCGGGGCATCGGTTGCGCTCAAGTCGATCAGGGCAGACAAGACTGAAAGCTCCTTGCCTTCTTGGACTACCCATGTGATGAAGCAATCTTTGCAGAAAATGGTGAGGATTCTGGCCTGGCCTGGCCGGCCACGCCTCAACATGTGCATCCTCAAGCTTCCCTCTTCAAACTCCTTCGTGCATGTGCAGCACACCGTGTCTGTGTTCGGGTATCTGCCATCACCAGCCAAGTCAGCATCAAAACGAAGCACTGGTACTTCGGCAAGGGGCGGGACATCAAACTCAAGGTCCTCTGGGTCCGGCTCTGTCGTTGTGTCACTGGTCGGCGATGCATCCCTAGGTGAGGGAAAGTTGGCAAGCTCCACCTCTGCAACCAAAGGGATCGCGGGTTTTCCATGCGGACCGGGAAGGATTCCACCAAGGAGCCCGATCAGGATGCTTCCAGCAACTGGCACACTCCAGCTGTCGCCTGCGATGTGGCAAGATAATCCAAAAAAATGAGCAGATTGAAAATGAGCAGCATGGATCAAGCAAAAAATGACGCAACACTAGCTGCTTGATTCGTCTGTGGACTGTTGAAAGCCTGCAATCTTGTTGAGTTCTGAATATGACAAATCCCCTGTATCCAGCTTGTACACGTCAAATCCTTGTAGGACCAACAAGTCCTGCAAGAATGCAGTTGCTGACGAATGGAAAACGATAAATGAAGTTACATCTAGACTGTGATGGATGAAGGTCTGGATTTGGATCTGAAGGAGAAGAACGGTTTGCAGATCATCTGTTTCTGGCATTATGCATATGTGACCCCGCTGAAAACGCAAGCATCAAAAGTGAAACCCAAAGCCCTGTCCTGACCACTTAGGAAACCTTCGGTCTCATAGTCCCACAATTTCACAAATGTGCTGAGGGCGCTCGTTCGGGAGCCCAGGTGATAGTGCAACCTGCCCAATGAACCTGAAAGTGTGGAGGCGGGCCACATGGAAGCTCTGAACAATGGAGCACCAAACGGGCACAATGAATTCAGCTTGCGAAGGGAACAGAAAACCCAAGCCCCACACGCGCAACATCTGATATGCATTGGGCCCCTTCAGGGTCCAGGCCACGAGCCTTAGATTGCGACAATGTCGGAAACCATCTGGGCCAGACTTCTATGCGATTCGAAAGTAGTGATGAGCGGGAAGTGATCTGGTTAAAGTGGTTTTGACATTGTTGAAATATTCACATGAAAGATATGTTGTGGGCAATTTTTGCATCGAAAAATGTGACCTGGCATGAAAACAATGAATTAGAAGCCTTTTTGAAATCACCTCACATGGCCAAAGAATATCAAACATATAATGTATTGTGATTTACCGCTAAAAAATGTATGCCATACAGACCATACGGCACATACGTGAACAATCGCAACGGTTTACATGCTGAAGAAAGAATCAGGAAGCACACATGCAAAAACATGGTCACCTTATTGAAAGGATTGCCGTGGCCAACACTTTGCAGAACGATGTGATATGATTTGGGTATGATTTTTGGTGTGTGTTTTTTGACTCGTAATAGTGTGGTCTTGGTAATCGACAAAAACAAGCTTGTTTTCGAAATTGAAAATCACCAGTGCTCTCAGTGACCATCCTACAAGCGTTTAATAAGTATAAGGTAAAAAGGAATTCACGAAATTACCCTACGAACGCAAGAAAATCTATTGTGAAGCAGTGAAGCCTATCAAGCCACCGCAGACAGAAAGGAACGCATGTGCAACATGCAAAAAAAAGAGCAAGCAAGAACGCAGCATACGGGCATCGCGCCATATGTTGAGTTACTCATGGAAAGTGAACTGTCGCAAAAACAATCTGTAAATCAATCCTGCTGTACATCATACATGATTTGCACGAAAGCACACCGACGTAAATGTTTCTGTGATAGGTTTGTCAAAACCTAAAATAAAAAGTTGGTGAATATCATGTGTTTGTGTTTGATATTGTTTCTTGTCTTTGTTTGATGTGCTACGCTCAGATGAAACTGCGCTGATACTAAAAACATATTGTCATATTGTTTTTTATGTCCTGTCTGTTCTGCATGCTGAATTATGTTTGATAGGTTCTGGCGTGGTTATGCTTAAGCTATGATGTTCTTGCTCGCTATTACATTATGTAAATTCTATATTTATATAAATGTATGTTACTATGTTTTGTTTAGTTTTGTCTTGTGATGTTATTGCATGTCCTGTTGCGTTATCATGTGTGTTTTTCATTGTTTTTCCATATGTTGTGTTTTGTGGTGATGTTTTGCGACGAATATGTGTTATACAGTTATACATAATTAAATAGTGTTGAAATTACTGATATAAAATGTTGAAAAATAAAAGTGAACAACAAGGCAGTTTATAAATAGTTCCGAACGGTTCCGAACGGTTCCGAACTATTTATACATCCCGAACTATTCCGAACTATTCCGAACTATTTGGGGTTTGGGTGTATAAATAGTTCAGAACGGTTCCGAACGGTTCCGAACTATTTATAAACACAAATTTATAAATAGTTTAGAACGGTTCCGAACGGTTCCGAACTATTTATAAATCATGCTGGTTTTAAATCTATGTTTTTAACATATTTTTTATCATTATCTTATTTGTTCATCATGTCACATCATAAACTTTGACAAGTAAAAGCCAAAAGTTACAAGTTAAACCACGACGACGAAGCTCAAACTTTTACGAGTAGCTTGACGGACATATACCCGTATACCGTAACCGTATGATGTTAATAAGATGATCAGGCGATGGGCACTCATGGCGAAAAATACTTTTTGATAGAGATGTCAAAACAAGTAGTAACATGAGGGGATAAAAAGACTGCCGATCCTAGCGGCCTTCATCATTGCATGGTGGATGTTCAAGATGTTCATCTCACGGGAGTTCAACCGATCTGTCACGGCGGGGTCGCGAAGGGATTTGGAATAGCAATTCTGAGGGCGGATTTTAAGCTCTTTCAGGTAGCCGTTCTCCTCATCCTTTGCTTTCTGGGATTGGCGGCCGTCCTCCAACAGTGGACCATGAAAAAAAATAGCCGGGCCCCCCGGAGTGACCCCGACAACCCAGCGCGAAAAATTAGGATGGCTCCCGATAGCTCCGCGCGAAAATTTGGAATGGTCCCCGGGGAAGGCATGAGAAAACCTCTGAAATTTATCCTACAAAGGAAAATCAAATTAGGAACTATTTATAAAACCAGCGCGGAACCCACCCGGAACTATTTATAAAACCAGCGCGGAACCCACCCGGAACTATTTATAAAACCACCGAAAGGGGAGCCCCCAAAATCCAGGAGTCCTTGGCCCTGGAAGGGAATGCCAAAGGTCCGACGCCGGCATCTGAACTCTCCTTCACATAGGCCAAAATCTGGGAGATACTTGCCTGTCCAGAGCTCAGTTGAGAAGGCAGTACTGTAGTGACTAAGTGCACCAGGCC